AGTCAGTGACAAGGCAGATTTAGTTAGCAGGAATTCTATGTGTGGTGTCCAAATCTGATAACTAGAATGTCTGTGAAAAGAACTTTATTTTTGGAGTTCAGTCCCTTCAGCTTCCACATTTTCCAGTTCAAAGGTGTAATAGAAACAGATATATGGGGGAAAAAAAACACAGGTAAAGTGAAAATATGTCAATTTTTGAAAAGTCAAATTCTCTCCAACACATCTATTTAGTAATTAAACACATTCAAACAATACTGGTTTCTCATCGTGAAAGTGGAGCTGGTTAACAATTTTGTGACATAATTGTTAGGGCATAACCAGGACACAGTTGTATCAGGATTCACTGAATTTAGGCCAGATGACAGGACACTGAAAAATGGAGATAAATGTCTTCAGTAATTTTACCTCTCTATTCTATCTTATTCAGTTACTTTTACTTTGTTACCATACAGAATTTTAGATCTTAAAATACATATTTTTACTGCTCTAGATTTCATTATAAAACTTACTTTAAGTTTGGTTAATAAAGTTGAATTTTATTACATTAGTTATGAATTTTTAAAAATCAGTAAGATTAAATGAAATTAAACAAAGAAACAAACAACAAAATGTAGTTTTCATGCCAGCATATACTTTTTGTTACATAGTAAGATACAGAGAAAAATTAAACCATGAGTAGCATTTATGCATTTATAAATGCTACCTAAACAAGAGAATCATTCCAACACTCCTGATAATGAATTTACTCTACTGCCTGCTATTCTGCTTTCAAAATTATCATTGCCTACCATCTTTCTAACTGTCAGTGACTCATTTTTATTCACTCATTCCAGATCATTAATAATAATGATGATACTTAAAGGGCAACAGATTATTTGTAAAGCAGAATTTTATTCTAAAATATTTTATGATTTTCTAGTAAAATCTTAAGCTTCTGAGAGCACATACTTGTTGCAAAATATTTCTCAAACAATGTAAAACTTTTAAGCATTAACATTTAAGTAAAATTTACTTAATTTTTGTTGATAATAGAGTTATTCTAAAGAGTATAGACTTAACTAGGACTTTGTGGCAAAGGAGTTTTCTAAACTCTGAATATGTTTAACACAAATGAACACTTTCCATTAATGTTTCTGATGCCACATCAAATTAGAGTGAAAAGTTGTGATTTTTTTTAAACCAAATAGTTTGGTTCATACCTTGGAAACCTCCATTCTGCATTTGAACAGCCTCTTTTGTTGGGGACAGGCCCAAGGGGATTAATCTTTGTCCTGCTGTCACAGCTTAATTAGACATCCAAAATCACTCCTTTCTGTTTCATCCTTCTGAAGTTCCTATCTGCTACTAATAATGTACTTACTCAGAAAAAAAAAAAAAAAAATCAAAGCCAACATGTCATTCTCAAATCATTCCCTCTCCCCTGCTCAAATTTCTCTCTCCCTTAATGGACTTACCATTCAACCAATCTTCCAAACTTGAAATCATGAAGCCGTTCTTTCCTTCCTCATGTCACTACCTCAGATCCCATCAGTCATCAAGTTCTGCCCAGAATCCTTCCTCAATAGTTCTCAAAGCTTGTGCTTCCTATTCTTTGTCCACTGCAGTGCTGTGGTCCAGCCTATCACCATCGGAACGACCACAGCAGGCAGCACAGTACATATGCGGGAGGTTGCATGAAATTTGGGAACAAACCAATGGTTAGAATCCCTGCTTTGCCTCTTCTGTGTTTGTATGTGACCTTGGATGTGTTACTTACCTTCCATGTTTCAGCATTTGCAAAAAAGGAAAGAAAAAAAGGTAACACCTACCTTAATTTGTAAAAATCAACTTCCTATAAAGCGCCCAGAACAGAAGCTAACATAGAGGAGGTCTTTGTTAAACGTCTTTTTCTTTCCTCAATCTTTTCCCACCCCAGTGTATCTTGTGCTTTCTATAAAAATTGTACCCCAAAATAATAATTCTAATCAGGTCACTCATCTGCGTAAGATATTCATTGCCCCTGTTCCCTCAGATAAAAATCTCAACATGGGATAGAAGATCTTTCACAATCTGCTCCAAGTCATCTTTCCTGCTTCAACTTAGAGCAGCAAATTAGGGAGCTCCTATGTCACTCTATTCATCTCTTCCTTTCCGGGACCCCAACACATGGCTGAACTCATGGCAGATCCTGGTTAAAAGTTTGATGGATGAACACATGCATGCATGGAGAGATGGATGAATATATGAATACATGAATGAATAAATTTATCAGAAGACAAGATTTACATACTTCCCTTACATTATGGAACATTTACTAGATCTGAATTTGAAAGCTATAGAAGCTTATCATTCACTTCCAGGCTTTATTCCTGTCTCCCAAATTTTCTGCCTTATACTGAGAGAAAAGTTTTCCTGCTATAAGCAGAGTATGTGATTTGGCCCAGAATATAGATGAAACTGTGCTAGGATGAGATGCTTCTTAATAGAATTCTACAAACATTTATTGAGCAGCTGTCAAGGGTCAAGCATGCTCTGATCAGTCTGAGACCCCTTAAAGAATGCACATCATAAGGGAGAAGAGAGGTTAAAGAGTTAGCTGGTAAAGGGGGCTGCAGTGTCGTAGTTGTCAAGATGGTCGTGGTGGAGTTTAGTAAAGACTTGACACAGGAAGGGGAGCCTCAGGTGAGTCTTGAAAATTTAGTACGAGTTTAAGCAGGTCATTGAAACTAGGGTGCGGCAGAGAAGAGGGACTTTCCATGTGGAAGAAAAAGCATGTCAAAGATATAGAAACAAGAGAGAACAGGCACAATGAGTTCATTATGGCTCTAGTTTGGAAAGTGTTTTGTTAAGATACCTATTTAAATATACTTCCTCAAAATTAAAATACTAATTACGAAGTTGGAGAATTTGTTGACACAAAAATGAAAAAAAGGATAACAGAAGGCAAGAAATTCCCCCAGATAAGCCCATTCATTTTCCCTACCCCCACCCCATAGTCTGTAGCCTTTAAATACACTCTACATGCTGATGACTCCTAAATTTATCTCTAGCATTGATTTTCTCCCAAGCTCCAACTTGCCTGTTAGACACCTCATGCTCAGTTTATCTTGTAAAGTGAAGTCTTAAGCCTCATTGCCCCAAATCTGTAATTTCCAACAGGATATTATCTCAATCCACCCAGTTGCTTGTGCCAGAAACGTGAGTTATCCTGTTTTCCTTTCCTTGCCTCCATTTCCAGTTGATTAATAAGCCCCGTTATTTCCATTATCTTAGGTCAGTTCTCCATTATCTACCACTGGTTCACTACAACGGCGTAACTAATGTTTTCTCATCTGCTATGATCCCCTCCAACTCATTCTCCACCATGCAACCAGAATGCTCTCAAAATAGTGTTTTAATAGCTGTGGCTTACGGATCACCGAGGTGGTTGGTTGAAAAATAAGAAAATGCACCTATCTAGTTCTCAACTCAGACAACGGACACAGAATCCGTGGGCATTCTTCAGAGTTCAGGGGTCTGCACTTTAATGAGCCCTACCTCTACCCCTTTTTGCTGTTAAAATTGAAGCGTCCCCAATATGTAAGGCAGAGAAATCTAGAGGTTAGGAGTGGATGTCTTGAGCCAGAGCTTCTGTGAATTCTAACTATGTGTCTTTGGGCAAGTAACTTAACTTTTGGTGCTTTCGTCTCTTTACTGGGAAAATCAGGATGATAGTGGACTAGATCTTGGGTTGTTGGGAGGTTCAAATGAGTTAAAACGTAAGTGGTAGATTTTATTGTTTCTTGCCAATATTTCTGGTTCTCTTCTGTCTCCTAGCACATGGGAAGGCTGTACTTCACCGCCCCATTGAATGTGGTCATGTGATTTACTTAGGCCAAAGATCCATGAGTGAAAATAATGTGTGTCACTTCTGAAGGAAGCGTGGGGCAACGAGTCTCCAAGTTCTCTCTCCTCTTGCCTTGGTGATGACTGGAGTGCATGTTGACATGGAAGTGTCCAAGGCAGAAGCAGTGTGGAACACTGAGCCCAGATGTGGCAGACAGCTGCCCTGCTCTCTTGGGTAAGCAAGAAGGAAGTGTGTATTGTGCTAAGCTCCTGAGATGTTAGGGATTATTACCACTGTATAGCCTAGCCCAACCTAACCGATACAACTTTAAAGCTCCTGGGATAGGCTTGGCCGATAGTAACTGCACAGTGACAACTTCAGAACATAAACACAGCAGTGTGATTCCATGAAACAGCAATTTTCCCTTTACTGACTTAAAACAGACACTTGATGGTGTCATTCCTCTGTTTGCAGCTCCTCAGTTGCTCCTAATGAAATTTATTAATAAAATAAAATGCACATCACTAACTTCACACATACAGTCCCCCTTGCTTTGCTCTTCAGCCTTATTTTGTTCACTCTTCCACTCACTCTCCTGCCAACCGGCCTGCTTGTAATTCCCTGAACATGGCACCTACCTTGCTGACAAAGGGCCTTCGTACTTGACAAACCCTGGGATTGAATTCATCTCCCACACCTTTTCTTATCTTCATGTCTCTACTTAAACGTCAGCCCCTCCCACCCAAATGGAAGCAGATGTTTATTCCTCCATTGTTATTCCTGTCTTAGGACCTTATCTGTGTTTTTCATATTCTTCATGATTGGTAATTAATTTGTCTATGGCCATACCACCCTGAACGCACCTGATGTTGTCTAATACTTAATTTTGCTTGTGTGTTCACATGTTTCCTGTCTTTTTCCAGCAACAGAAAGGATGCCCCATGAGGGCAGAGCCCACATCTCTTTTGTTGATGGTTTTATCCCCAGAACGAAAACACTGCCTGGTTCACAGTAATATTTGATATGGAAAGATGGGGTGGGGCAGAAGAGGTTAAAAAAAAAAAAAAAAGAGTTGTTCTAGAATTAAATTGGGGTCTTTTGGAATATAAAATACTACCCTAAAATGACTATTGCCAAAAGAGATAGAGAGTTTGTAACAAATGTGATGAGAATTCTGAAGAGTAATGTATTTTTTATGAAATGATGCTTTATTACTTTTAGAAAACGGTATAAACTTATCAACTATAAATTAAGATACAAGTATATTTCTGCCAAAGTCAGTCAAGAAAAATGCATTTCAGAATCAGTTTTTGTTACAGGCAATGTATTGTAAACTCGAACATCCAGAATCTGAGTTACACTTTTTAACATTTTACTAAATAAAAATCTGATATACTGCGTCCAAGTGATGACACATTCCAAATTAATGTAACTTTCTTACAGCTTAAATAAACAAATTTAGATCACCAAGTGAAATCAAAGCCAAGTGTATTTGCACAACTCAAGAATGATGTGAATGGATTAGAATCTCTGGTAGTGTATACTTTACCATTTATAAGCAAACTTTGACAGTCTTCTGAGTGACATGGTATTAAACTTTGTTTCCAAGGGCCAAATACTAAAATGTATAGAATATCCTACTCTATACTCACTATTAAATGTCATGGACTAGGAAATCTGAGACACAGAGTAAGAAGCAACTGATCACACACCCCAATCATTTAAGTTCGAAGAGTTCTTTTAGGTGACTCTGGGTCAGGCCGTCTTGAAGGGCCTTAGACAAGTTTTCCTTCCCATAAATCCTGCTTTCTCAGGCAGAATCATATACCATAACTGAAAGGAAATGGCTGCTGGTTATCTACTCATTGTCTTCTTTCATTCCCTGCAAAGACACCAAAAAAACCGGTTTGTTTAGACCTGCCCCCCGCCCCTGCCCCACCCCATCAAAGGTACACAAGTAGATTGTTTGAATCCTTCAGATGAAGTCTTCTTTCATCTCCAAAGATCAGGAGATTATGAGAAGGACAGAAAGTCAGAGAACCTGGTGATCAGACAGACGCCATTCTTCGTGTTAGCCTTTTCCTGATCCAGAAAGAATCCAGCTTCTAGTTGTAAATGATCCCATCCCCACTTTTCAAAGTTAGCTTTACTAGAGAGATGTTACAGAGGAGAAGGAGCACATATTAAATTTATGGTTCTCTTTTGTTTCTATTTCAACTAGCACATAATAGAACTCAAATCTTTCTCAAATACCTAGATTTTTCCTTTGTGAGCAAAAGACAAAGTACGGTTTAAGGGTTAGAGTCTATTCGATTCAACCTCATTTCCACTTTGTATTCTAGGGGTTTTTAGTCTTTCCTCAATATCAGAAGATAGGTGGGCTCCTCAGTCAACTATTGGTAAACACTTATTTAGCAGAGGTCATGCATTTGCAGGCTCTTTACTGCCTGGTAGATTATAAATGAATATTAAAATGTTGCTAATCTCTTAGTTCCAAGTCAACTGCTTCTTCTGTTTTCTACTGCACTAGAATGAATGAATGAACGAATGAGTAAACAAATGAATGAGAGTTTGAATGCTTACCTAAAGGAAGACAACTGTTGTCTTTCTGGAGGACACTCAGTTGAGACTACAAAAGCTTAAGGTGATACTTAGAAATGCAGAAAAAAGAATCCACATACGTTGTTTCAAAGTTTTATTTGCTTACAAAAGAAAATGGAAGTAGGTTTGCGAAAACTTATCTGCATGTACAAAGTAATCCCTGTAGATAAGGAGAGGCAACCCCTGGAACACACTGCTGGATAAATTGTTCATTAAAATTATATCTCTTTGCATCAGAGTTGGTGGAAAGTCATTATTTCACGAGTTAAAACCACTGAAAAACTAAATCTATTTTTTAAATTACTAAATTCAGAAAGATTATATCCAAATGCTGATTTTTGGATACCCATGAAACCAGTTACCAACTGATCTCAGAGTTGGACATATCAATTAAGCAAGAGGTAGTTTGTCCAATTATGTCCCTTTTTTTCTTATCAGCAAGGTTATTCCTATAGCAAGTAGGAGTAAGTGACATATTCTTTGAACCTCTTTGAATTCTTTTCTTGCTGCGGGCATATTATTTCCCTCAAACACAATCATATCTGTTCATTTCAGGACTTGAGAGAGAAGATTTCAGAGTTCAATTTATTTTTCCCAATTCCTCTTTGAGCTCTCTTCTCTGGAAAAACAAATTATCTGACATGCCATGAAAACACCAAAGCGAAATCATTTCTACCATGTCATAGATTAAGGGAACTTTTAAAAAATATATATATTTTTTGTTAATAACAACAATAATATTAACATTATCCAAGGAGGAGATTTAGGCTGCTGAAATGAGGCCCGCCCCCTCCCCACCAAAGGAGCATACAAACCACATAACAACATTTTCTCAAACAAGATGCCTTAAGAGTTCTTGCAGTTGGTCTTTCAATTTCTTCTGAGGCTATCAGACTCCGGGGCCCCACAGTTCCATGGCTTCCAGCTCGTCTTGGACAGGGGTGAACTCTGGCTGATCTGGATGGGGAGCTAAAGAGGAAAAGTGGGGGTGGGGACTTGCTGCACCCAGGAATCATAAATTGATATTCTCCCCTCACCTGGGTCCTTAGAGACACAGAGATATCCTGCTGGGTAAAAAGCAGTGGGTAACTTAATCCACCACGCCCCTTGTACCTTCCCCATAAGATTTCAGACAGTTAGTAAACAGACGAAGGGAAAGATACATTACAGAAATTGTTAGAAAATTAGAATCATAGCCAACTATTTAAATATTACACGTTTTATTTACAGAAGAAACCCTGAAAACTCAGCAAAATTATAAAAGAAATAGAAATTTAAAAAAACGATCTCATGTTAGAAGTCCATCACCAGAGGAGAGCAGGGAGGGGAGGTGATCAGGGGAGGAAGGGAGAGTAGGGTGGTCAAGCAGAAAGATGCTCATCCATCCTGTGTGGGGAGAGGAAGGAGGAGGAAGCACAGTTAAGTAACTTTATTACGGAGCTGTCACACAGGGGAGTCTGAGATAAATTCTTGGCACACGATCATATACCTCTATCCAGGCTGACATGGAGCAGTCAGTGTCTATTAAAATAGACATATATGATTTGGTTAAGTTCCAATGTTATCACTCCATCATGTTTGGAGCAGAGTGAGCAAGAGATTTGAAAGCGTGAAGGCAGGGATGAAGAAGAGGCAGGGAAGCAGGGTGTCCATTGTTAGGGGCAGGGGCTTGGTGGTGGTGGTGGTCGACAGGACAGTTCTGTTTCCATAGCCAAATGCCCGGGGCCAATGTAACCAGAGTGGAGGATTTCCACTTCAGTGCTGGTAATCATTGTAGGGGATCAGATCTTAATAAGGGATAGGAGTATTTGAGAGAACAGGGAGGGAAAAGATGAACAGAGAAAAACACATCAGCAAAACTTTGTTGACCAATTCCTCTGATAAATAAGGTTAAATTTCTACTGAAGCAGAAAATTTTAAATCCATTAACTAGTAAGTTCATGGCCCCACAGCAGTCCCTCAGCCTCTCTCTTGATGCTTCCAACAGTGACGATGTCAGAAAAGGGGTCATTGCACAGCACACCAGCATGCACACTGCAGATGTTTTAGGAAGGATATTCTTTTAGTCCAGTAGTTAGTGATAAGGCAAGGACAGGATGACTTTTGTTTCCTCTCACAACTATCCTTGGTCACCTAAAATATGGTGCCTAAATGCACCTAAATGCAAGTGGTACGCAAGAGATCACTGAAAATAATCTAAGGACCTCTTAATTACAGATGTTCTAAGTTTGACATTTCCCCCAACCAAGAGTAAAATTTTATGAGACATCTTGGCCACATCACAGCTGTCACGTAAGAATGAAGACTCTGAAAGAATGTTCGGCCATGTCCTCTAAATGTGCTAAACATGAAGTCAGGGGTCAACTCTATGTAGGTCATCATTTGGAAGTAAGGAAGACTTAGATGTGCTGTTATTTTGAATTTGCTCTTAAGGTTTTTAAGGGAGTAGCCTCTATAGCAATTTGCACTTTATAGAAAATGTCTGGGATAATTTAAGGAAGTGAGGCATTCAAGTTCTGCTTCCCATTCATAACCAATTTAACTTTTTTCATAGCACTATCTTCCCATTTTGGTAGTAAGCATAGTGAAACATTGATCAAAGCCCAAAAGAGGGGCTTTTTGTGACACTTACCTCTCACACCATAGGCAGAACATGATGAGGGGTCACAATATCCAGGCTGGCCAGAAGGACCTTGTGGTCCAGGAACCCCCAGATGACCTGGGGGGCCTCTTGGTCCAGGAGAGCCAGGGGGCCCAGGGCTGCCAGGCCGACTCTCCCCTGAAGGTCCTAAGAAGTACCCACAGACAAAAACAGTTGGTCTTTTGCCACAACAGGGTGAGTTTTGAGACAACCAAGAAGTAAACTAACTCTTAGAAGAAGCAACTTTCAGGACAATTAGGACAACGTCTTTCTACTCATTGAGTTCTTTTTCTTAGACTGGATTACCTAGGCAGAGGATCATAGTGTAATCACTTATCCTCCTGGAGGTCAATGCTCTTAATCAGCTCAGGAAACTAGGAAGCAAAATGTATTTTTTCTATTACCTCTTGGATATTAAAGGGAAAGAAACATTCCATTTTCAACCTTATTTTCTTTTTGGAGCTTTTGTTTCCCAATGCAGTTCCTTATGAACCCAATCTATGGGTGTGCACACACACAGACGCAAACATGAACACACTCAGAGCTCAACCTCATCATCTAGTTAGAATAGCCATGCAATTCAGTACCAGTTTATGGCCCCAGATAATTAAAGCTCAACCTCATCAACAGTTAGAATAGCTATGTAATTCAGTACCGGTTGATGGCCCTAGATAATTAAAGTAAATTTGTATGAGTGTGAAATTGTCCTGGAGGGGACCAATGACGAGTTTGAAATTCGACCCAATATACTAATCCAAAATTTCTTTAAGCTAGTTTACATTAATTGAGAATTCAGATTGAGTAAAAATAGGAGGATTAAAATTGTTGTGAATAGAAGAAATTTGTCAGTATGAGAGTTTTTTGGCTTGTATGCTTGTTTGTTTTTAGGCCTGGGTTCCAACAGTGTTGAAAAGGCATTCTTCAACTATAATGGAATTTCTCAACTGGAACTGAAATGAAAAGTAGGAAGAAGTATCACCTTCTATTTGAATAGCGTGGTGGCTCTCATATATTCAGCTCCTCAATCAGCACTCACCAACCACCCATTCTGTATAATGTGTAATGTTATATCAGTTCCTCACATTGTCTCTAATAACAGAAATATTTACACTCAAAATGAATCTATTGCATTACGAACCTCCCTCAGAGAAAGTATTTTCCAAAATCTTACTAGACTGGAAAGAAAAATCTGTAAAGCACTTTACTCAATGTGGCTAAGACTGACATTATAAATATATATTATAATAAGGTTGCAAATTATAATAATTCTAATATAAAGTCTGATCATCTGGAGACCATTCTAAAAGCACATAAAACACAAAACTCAAAACTTCTACAGAACTCATTCAGTAAGATTACCATGGCAGGAAATACTAGTGCTCACCAAATAGCCTTGTATTTCTCTAGATGTTGTGTCTGCCTTGCAGTTCAGCTGGGGCTAGGTGATTAGTTCCAGACAATAAAATGTGAATGGAAGTGACATCTCATTCTGATGAGGAAGTTGAGACTGATGTGCCTTCTTTTTTTTTTTTTTTTTTTGAGACAGGGTCTCCCTCTGTCACCCAGACGGGAGTGCAGTGGTGCCATCATGGCTCACTGTAGCCTCAAACTCCAGAGCTCATGTGACCCTCTGCTTCAGCCTCTCAAGTAGGTGGGACTACAGGCACATGCCACCACACCTGGTTAAATTTTTGTATTTTTTTGTAGAAATGGGGTTTCGTCACGTTGCCCAGGCTGGTCTCAAACTCTTGGCCTCAAGTGATCCTCTTATCTCAGCTTCCCAAAATGCTGGGCTTACAGGAGGGAGCCACCACACCCAGCCCGAGTTGCCGCCTTTATCTTTCTCTTGGAGGCTACATGATTCACTACAGAGATCATGGGTTCTGAGATGGAAGAGAGCTACCTTACTCATATGAAACTTTGTGTGAGTGTGAAATAAAGCTTTATTGTATAAATCCACTAAGCATTTGGGATGTATTTGTTACTATAGCATAGTCTGTCCTACCCTAACTCACACAAACAATAAGATCCCAGAATATGCTCTAACTTTTTGGGCTTATATATTGCGGGGATCACTATTAACAAAGAAGCCTCCCAATAAAACAAATATGAAATACAGCCATTTCAGTTACATACTAGGATGTAAGATGACCATTTCCTCCACTGCAATGCCAAGTGAATATAAAAACGTACATTTGCAGTTTCTTGTTAGGAAGGAAGATTTACCTGCTGGTCCAGGGGGGCCTCTTGGACCTTGGGTTCCAACGCCTGGATTTCCTTTTTCTCCCTTGACACCAGTTAGACCTGTTTAAAATAATTTTTAAAAAAATGTTTAAAGTTCTTTTTGAAAAAAAATCTTGGTAGTTCCATTTTTCTGGAGTTCAAAAGTGCTTCTCTGATGAAGACAATGAAGTGGGTTGGTGTGGGGTTATGAGTACCACGGGACTTTTAAATTAAATTCTGACACTGGTAGCGTATGGAGAATCACATGTTGAAGTCTGGTTCTGTATTTGAGTGTGTGGTCTGTATCTGCTACTCTGCCAGTCTCTCTTTCTCCTTCCCACTGAAGTCACACAGTCTGCCAGGAACTGGTCCTTGTCTTTGCACGCACCAGGCCACTGGACTTATGCAGCTGGCACTCCACAAGTAACACAATAGAAATCACAAGTGAACATGTCTAACATTTTCCTTTTGGTCCACCCTGTAATGTATCTGCAAAAGGCATGAATTATAATTAGGCAGCAACATTCTGAAGAGCGTGAGTTTCCATCAAAACTTGGAAGCTTCGGGAAAGCCTGTGTTTGATTTGGCTGATTCAGCCCCATAAAAATCTAAATCTATTCATGTTTCTTTTCCATGGAGTGGACCTCTTATAATTTACAGTGCTATTAACAAAGTATACATTTTCACAGGCAAACACAAAGAAACATATACTCTGACACCTCATTATCTAAACAGGTCCTATCACAAGATCACTTCAAAGGTGAGAGCACCTATATTGAGGCCCAAGGTAAGGCTGCATTAGACTGGGGTCTGGGTTACCCTGGCTTACATCACGGAAGATCTTTGCTGTCTGTATTTCATGTACAACAATGCTTTGAGATAGCAGCATGCAGAACAGCATCTCTGTTTAATTATACCGACCGAGAAATTATGCTGAATTGGCAAAGCCTAGGAGGAAACATCAATAAACGAAAAATGGCCAATTTGACAGGTAGCAGGCATGGAAAGGCTTTGCAATTTTTTAAAATTACAAATAACTATTTGTTTACTTTAAATATAATGCATATTTACTGTCAACAAATTAGAAGATGCAACAAGCAAGATGCTAGCACTTGAAAATAATCACTTTTAACATCTTACTTGATAACTTCCAGAAAGAAAAGCGTTGATGGATGATTTGTTCTGGAAATCATTGGTAAAGAAGACTCTGGTGAGGAACTAACAGGTTTTGGTTTTTGGATTTTACACTGCACATATAATGGTTGCTCCTAACTTGCAGCTTTGGTATCTTTTGTGCTCCCAGTAATGATCTCTTGTAGTCAAGACATAGCCTGGCATCTCTTTTAAAAAGCTCTTCTTCTTTACTAGGAGTCATCCAGGTTGGTCTACTCATTGCTAGAATTCCCAAACACCCAATCCTATTGCATGTCACCTTGATGGTGCTATCTGAGCTTACAAAAGACCAGTACCTCCATGACAGCCCAGGGTACAAACCACCATGCCTGTGACTTTCTGTTTAGGGCCTGGTTCTTCTCTTAGGAGCCCATAAGGAAAACAACGATTTCTCAAAAGTAAAAATACCATCTCATCTGAGTTTCAAAAGCACACGGGTAACTCTGACCCATCAATATTTAATGCTCAATTGCTAATCAAGTTGTTCAGACAGAAAGCCACGCTGTAGAAGCCTCCCAGGTATTAGTTTAGTAGCTAATGAGAGTTTGTAGTTTTTAGCTGAGAGGTGCTACTTCACTTGTAAGTGCTTGTGCCCCAGTGTGCATCTGGGAATTTAGCCGAGCATCCTTCTTCTTCTGCTTGAACTGGAGTCACTTTGCCAACAGGGAACAAGTAATTTTGAAAGAACTAGAACATAATAAAATATACTGATGACTAACACCAGGCTGTTCCTGATTAAGAGCGTGGTGACTCAGTGGCCTCTCACGACCTCACGGTGCAGGATCATCTTTAACAGGATGGCTCCTAATGCTTAACTCTCCACAAGAAGACATAGATCCGGGAGAAGAGGACATCTGGGGAAGTATTCTTGGGACTAATCCCCTGATAATAGTTTCCTGACTTGTTTTTTGCTCACTCATAAAGAAAGTACGAGGTGGAGAAGATTGGGAATAGAAAATCTGGTTGTTTTAATTTTCTCATTACACAGAGAAAAATAAATGGAATCAGATATTATCTGTAACATATGTCGAGGTAAGAAGAGAGAAAGAGCCTCACAAAAACATTTTGAAAAAAAATTCCAGCCCTCGAAATGCTTTAGAAAAGGAAAAGGAAAATGCCTAAAGACACAATTATATATTAACAAGGAATTTTAGATTGTATTCTTTTTTTCTTTTTCCTTCTTTCTTTCTTTCTTCTTCTTTTTTTTTTTTTTTGAGACAGAGTCTCACTCACTCTGTCACCCAGGCTGGAGTGCAGTGGTATAATCTCAGCTCACTGCAACCTCTGCCTCCTGGGTTCAAGCGATTCTCCTGCCTCAGCTTCCTGAGTGTCTAGGATTATAGGTGTGTGACACTATGCTTGGCTGATTTTTATATTTTTAGTAGAGACAAGGTTTCATCATTTTGGCCAGGCTGGTCTCGAACTCCCGACCTCAAGTGATCCGTCCACCTTAACCTTCCAAAGTGCTGGGATTACAGACGTGAGCCACCACGCCTGACTGATTTTATTATTCTTCAAGGTATTATATTACAAACTACATTTAGGTGAATACATTAATATTTGTCCACATATCCACTTATGGTTCTCATACTGAAGGAACGTTCATGTCCATGACAACTGAACTTGGTTGTAGGCCATTTTTTGGAGTGAAGCAATCTTGTTAAAAATTAGTATTTAAGTACCTTAGATGAGGGTTGAGATCAAAGGCTAAGTGTAGAGACTTCAGGTCTCTAAAAATAGATCTGGATATATTTTTGATAAGCCTTGTAGGACCTAATTAAAAGGAAGGAAATCAAATGTCCTAAAACATCAGCCTGTGACTATCCATGAGATGCCTGAGGACAGTGGAGCCTGGGTATAAAGTCATTTTTCACAGACAAAACCCAGTCATGGCCCATCATAGATCTCCTTTGCACAGACCCAAGGTGGGGCCACTTGGTGCTGAGATGGGGTCACCAGTGCGACGTGCCAGTGTCCCTTCCACAAAAACACTGAGACTCAGGAGACTCATGGGACTCCCAAATGCTAATTTCCTTCTTTCGAAATGCCCTTTACCTTGTCTGCCTCCATAACTTCTCCTCATTCTTTAAGACCCAACTCAAAACTTCTCTATAACCATAGTAGGCAGAACCATGACAGACACAAGAGGGCAAGGAATATTTATCTTATTCCACGGCTATATCCCCAATGTGTAAATATCCCCAGTGTATAAATATGATGTCTTCCACATAATATATAACTCACAAATATTTGTTGAGTGAAGTAACAGATGAAAGAATGACTGAGTGAAGGAATTCTTTGCTTTCTTAGTAACTGTGCTCCTTTGGTACTGTATATGCCATTGCATTACCTATTCTCATGCCTACATGGCCCCAAAACTATAGGACTCTTGACTGCTGGAGCTGTGCCTCACTTATCTCTCCAGCGTCAGTCCACAGCCACTCTTAGGTGGCCCAACAAATACTAGAAGACTAAGTGAATTGAATGCCTAGACCAATACTCAACTTCCCACTATTATTATTTTAAACTTTATTTTACTTTTAAATTCTCGGCTATATGTGCAGAACGTGCAGGTTTGCTACACAAGTACATGTGTGCCATGGTGGTTTGCTGCACCTATCAACCCATCACGTAGGTTTTAAGCCCTGCACACATTGGTTACTTGTCCTGATGCTCTTCCTCCTGTTGCTCCTCCTCCCGACAGGTCCCAGTGTGTGATGTTCCCCTCCCTGTGTCCCTGTGTTCTCACTGCTCCCACTTATGAGTGAGAACATGCGGTGTTTGGTTTTCTGTTCCTGTGTTAGTTTGCTAAGGTTGATGGCTTCCAGCTTCACCCACGTCCCTGCAAAGGGCATGATCTCATTCCTTTTTATGGTTATGGTGTATATGTACCATATTTGCTTTAGCCTATCACCGATGGCCATTTGGGTTGGTTCCACGTCTTTGCTATCGTGAATAGTTCAGCTGCCCATTATAAGCAGGCATATTTTTGAAAAATCAACAGACAAAATTCCTTAGGCTGAAGCTTCATTTTTACACACCTCGGATATGTGAACACTGCTTTTTCTAACAAGTTGCTTGTGTAGTGGTGATAACTACTAGTGCCTCTTAGAGATGAATATAATTGGCTCCAGTTAAGTTTGAGGTACTGCAATTTTTTAAATGAGCACAGCTAATATAAATAAAGATCTAACTTCACAAAAATATGATTTAGCCAAGATTAAAAAACGCTTAGTTTTCTGTAGAGTAACAAAAATAATATTTAGAATCATCAGAAAGAAGTCCCCTCCCTCCATCTCCTCCTCCTCCTTCTCTCTCTTTTTCTAATAGACTATCTTTTAGAGCAGTTTTGGGTTCACAGTAAAACCGAGTAAAAGACACAGAGATTTCTCATATATACCCTGCTCCCACAAATGCATAACCTCGCTCATTGTACAACATCCCCCATCAGAGTGGTACATTTGTCATATTCATTCATTCTTCAGAGTCTCATCAGAAACCATTTCAGGTTACCTGATTTTCCCTCACTGCTAACCTAATACTGACTTGCCAATATTTTCGTTTTCTGGCCCACAAAATCTGGGACTTGTTTGTTTTAGATCTTCCTTATATTCCAAGTGCCAGTCACACATGAAGCACTCAAGAAATATCTGTTAAAGCAATGGATGAATGAATGGAATACAAAATTTGATTGCAGACTTTGACAAATCAAAAATGTACCTGAGAGTGTATCAGCACTGCCTACAAATTATCTCACTAGGTTTCAGATGCCAGCTGCTTCACATGAACAAACTCATGTTATTTCCACAAGAGCCACAAGGGCAGGCACTACTATAACCCTGAAAGAGAGCTGGATCCTGAGAGGGTAAGTCACTTGTCCTTAGGTAGGAAATAACAGAGCCAAAATC